TGTTTTAATAATTTGATGACCTGCCATGAATATTTTCTCACTTGTTGTTAAGCAAAAAAATAAAGATGTGAGACCTGCTCTGATGCCAATTGAAAGTAGAAGAGGGGGGAGGGAGGGGTGAATTGTAGCCTTTTTAAATTTTTAGTCGACTACTCTTCAGACCTAGTCGACTTATATGGAGACAGCATGCACCAAAACTGTTAGTACTTCAATTTAAGCAGATACTACTCACAACAGATAATACGGTGTATAATAAAATATGAGAGCAGTAAAATAAATAACACCGGGAATTTTATACTGGTTCGGAACCAATGTGGTATCCTAATACAGTCTCCTTGGTTGCAAGGATATTATCTCTTGAGCTCTTTGTAATTTGTGTTGAGTACAGCTTGTGTTATTTTCAACGTTCACCACCAACGTTTACAGGGTTGGTTTTCACTCGCTCACCAACAACGACCCTTTGGTTTTCACTCGCTCACTAAAGAAACGAACAATGACACAACCTCTCCGGACACTGCCTCTCCAATATTTTTCTGTCTCTCTTCTCTCTTTTGTGTACACAGTAAATCTACTAACGTGAATTACAATGCTTGTTAAGAGTATAATAAAGAACTTGTAGTTGGATAGACAATTGTATAGAAGGCTGTGTACTTTCTTCCTTCATAGAGCTCGTATATTTATACCCCTTTCAACTTGTTCTGGCAATTGCTTAATCCAAGGGAATTTGATTGTTGCTCCTTTATTTGTTTCCATAATTTGCTACTCCAATGATCTCTTGTTTGGTCAATCTTCTCATACCATATATTAGACCTGGGCAGAGATATTGTTGCTTTCCTTTGGATAAGGTAAATTGATGAGTATCCTATCAATTATGCATTGAATGATTTTCTTTCCTTGTCTGACACCTTGATTGAATAGTGTAAGAATCTTGATTACAACTCCTTCCTTAATTCTTTTTATAACTTTGGACATTATGCCTTCCAAGTCTCCAGTGCATAATCACGTTCCTTTGCTTAAAGATTCTTCCACAAAATATCCCTCATTTTCTTCCAATAAGTCATTGTAAAAGTTCTTCCTTTTTATATGAGAAATATTCCTTTCTTGATCTTGGAAGATAATCTCTTTCCATAATATAGATTTTACTATGCCATAATATATTTTCTTTCCATAGAAAATATATTCTTCCTTGGCATTGTAATATCTTTCTTCTATAAAATAATAGATCTTCTCCATAATTTTAACAACTTTCTTTTCAAGATATTGAAAAACTTTCCTTCCATAATTTCCGCAGATTCTTCTTCCAATATTGTAGTAAGTCATCCAATATTTGAAACTTGGCTTTCAAATATTATTCCTTCTATGATGCTTGGAGATTAACTCTCTGAAAATAATCTTCCTTGATAAATTCTTCACATGATATTCTCTTTCCCGTATTTGTCTGGATCTTTACCAACATCTTCTTTTATGAATAAACCTGTGCAGAAATAAGATTATCACAAGTAAGTGTTCTTTGATTGATATTTATGTTAGTTTGTTATCAACAAAATTAATACGTGAAACCTTGAAGCTAACAGAAAATGTGCCCATTTCAAAACCCAGATTATGAATTTTCAAATGTGACTACAAACTAATGTACTGCAGTTTATTTTTGGCTCTTTTATTTTATTTTACTTTGTTGTCCAAGCTATCTGGATGTGTATAGCATAATCAAAATACAAATCCTCATAGTCAAACTTAAAAAGACAGTCTTCTAGATGAAAGCAAATAAGCTCATATTTTATCATGTCTCACTAGCCGTCAAGAGCATAGAACAAATTGAAGCGCAGAATAAAATAGAGCAACAGAAAATGTTCATCTTAAGCAAATCAAGCTATTCCTGATAATGCAATCTCCTACTAGAGTACAGAACAGAACAGAATAGAGCACAGTAAATATTCTTTCTCAGCTAATTTTCGTGCAATCTCCTACTGGAGTGCTCACTTTTCTCAGCTATTTCTGGTAGTAAAAGCTCATACATTCAACTTAATTAAGCTTACAAAAAGAACTTGGATGTGTATGAACATGGAAATATGAAGGATCAATATCTTTGTTAGCACTTATCACAAAAGAGAAAATTAGAAGAGGCACTACATCATATCAGAAGAAGAAATATGAGAACCCAACAAAGAACTGAGTACAATCAGCAGCAACAACAATCTTCAAGTACTATTCATGATATGTCTACAGCAACCAAGACTAATATGGAGTTTAATCAAGACTCATAGATGTTGTCTAAGAAGGAAAAACATATTTCTTACGGTTGGTTTCCTCCTAGGCAATCAATTATTAACATCAAGAAACTGAACAATGTTTGACCCAAAAGATTTTGAAACCTTTTTGATTAAATCAATTAAAAAAGATGAAAGAGTAAATCTCAAACAAATATAATAAACTCTAGAGTGAGGAACATAAGGGATGAACAAGGTAAATAATATTTATTGATCTCGTGGAACCGAATGATTAAGCGTAAAAAGAACGATCACCAAGAAAGTAGAATAAATATTGTAATGGATGCTCTTAGTCGAAAGTCCCCCCCTTTACAAGGTTCTTTCCTCACTATATATAAGGGACAACCCCCTTTTGAACCCTAGAAAACATATCATAAGGAATATTCGACGTATATTCCTAAAGCCTCCTGTTAGACCTACATTACTGCGAAAGTCATGCGTCCTCTATCCGCTTGTTGGTCGTCACCGTCTTCAACAGGACGTCGTGTTGTAAAGATCTCATCTTTTGTCGTATTGGTCAGTAGCCGTGGTCATCCAAATTTGGACCCATACAGTTAGTCCCTCTGCTTGTCGAGGTTGCGGTTTGTGCGTCCTTGATAAGCGTACATCGCCCATACCTGTGGAGAAATTTGGTTTTATGAAACGCCATGACATGGCCAACAACGGAAGGTTAGCGTGCTCAACGATACCCCTAGTGGTGTGTCTTATCGGGAAGTGATGTCACTTCCACGTGCGTCATCATTATGCGTGTTTTCGAGACAGGGGCTGAAGGCTTGTCGCTTCAATTTCGGTGCCATTCTGCAGCCTTCCGCTTCGATTCTGGCGCCACCCAATCCTATAAATAGGGGGAGGGTTTGTTTTCAAAAACTCTTGGCCATTTCGTCTCTGGTTATTTTTTCTTATCCCTCCCGTGTTTGCTCCAACGATTCCTCTACTTCCTTTCTTCCAATCTTCGTTCTTAGCTTTTTCTGTTACATTAACACATTTTCCACCGTAGAGATGCCTAGAACACATCTATCTCGTGAGGGGCTTTCCGACGCCACCCCGTTGTCCATGGCGCTCCCCCCTGGTGGTGAGGACATGACGGTGGAGGAAGGGAACAACTTTCCCACCGTGGAGGAGTTATTGCCGAGACACCCTATGTCTCGAAGCGACTTTCTTAAGGATCCTCCTCCTACTCCTGCCCCTATACTCTCTGAAACTGAGCAAGTCCATATCGATGCTCTCCGTGCAAAATATAACATTCCCGCTCATATTGAGATGGTTCCAGTGGAAAGGGACTTCGTGGAAGTCCATAGGCCTGGGTACTGTGCTTTTTATGAGTGCCCCTTCGTGATTGGTCATTCCTTCCCCCTTCTCCTGTTAGCGGAAGAATTCTATCGATTCTATGAGGTTTTCCTGGCGCAACTTTCCCCGTACACGCTCAAAATACTCCCGTTATTGACGAAATACGTAGAGTTGGCGGGGTGCGAGGTTACCGTTCAATACCTTCTACACTTGTTTTCTCCCAGCTTTCATAGGGGTACTATGGTACATCTGAGGCACCGTGGGACAAAATGGCTGGTGGTTGGAATCGATGACCGGGCGAGTCGCAAATTTTGGCATAACTACTTCTTCGTTAGAACTGAGCACATCGTGTCTGACCCCGCTAGATTCCCGGAGCGGTGGAACGAGAATCGTAAGTGTCGCTACTTGTTTACTCTTTCTTTTCTTCTTTATTCACCTTAGTGTTTATTTGTTTCTCGTTTGCAGCTATGGGGCACCCACCTCACCCTATTGCAGGTATAAGGGATTGGGTAGCTCGTCTGCTGTCCCATGCAGCGGAGAATAGAGACTGGCCCCTTTCGTGAAGCGCTTTGGGCCGAAAGTTTCATCTGGTAAGTATCTTCCTCTGTATCTCTCTTCGACTATCATAAAGAGTCTATTGATACGACTCTTTATGATGACAGGTCGCAGAGCTTCTAGGCGGAGGGCCCCAGTCCCTGCATTTCGTCAAGTTGTCGCCTCCGCAGGAATGCAATTCACTTTGGATGAGTCCGCGCGAGAGGGTCGTGCTCAGTTGGTACAGGCGAGGGAAACCTCTCGGGATATGGTCGTGAGGGGGAAAATCCCTTCTTTACCAGTCCATCACCTCGTTGATGAGTCCTCTAATGGGGACGAATCTTCGTTGAGAAAGAAGAGGAGGATAGAGCTTGGGAAGAGCGTGGACGTTGATACCGGTAAGAGTAGGACGGGTGCATCGGAGGCGGCACCGGTACTCGCGTTTATGGCCAACGCCATCTTGGTGGGGAGGTCTCCCCAAATAGAAGGGGTTTACCAAGGAGGTGGTTCCGTGCGCTCCGCTGAGGGTGGCGCATCATCTAACGTTGGAGGGGTCCTACGCATCGAGGGCGAAGACTCGGGCTCGGATGCCGACCCGGGGGATGTTCGTAAGTTTTTGGAGCGTCACACTCACGTAGAGATCAGAGTGGAGGGTTCTGATCGACACATAGTTGTCCCTGGGGACTACAACTTGTTGTCGGACTGTGATCAGGTGGCGTCTGCTTTAGCTCCTTATGTGCTACCCCTGAGAACGAGGAGCTTAGAGCGATGAGCGATACGGAGCTATCCTAGAGCGTCTCTGGCATGGCCCTGCGGGTAGATATCTTTCTTTTCATTTCGTCGTTGGGTTCGTGTTATTATTTTTGGCCTGTCCTTTTGTTTTAACTTTACTTTTTGTGTCAGACCTTTATCATGGAGATCGAGTGCGAGGGCCAAGAAAGGAGGAGGACGGCCCTCTATGGAAAGATGTCTTCTAAATATCAAGAATATCGCACCAAGCATCGTGCGATGGCCGACATCTACAATCAGGATCCTGACTTCCAACTGTTCCGCGAAGGGCTCAAGCAGAGGGAGGATCAATTGGCGCGTAAGGTCGAGGAGTTGAGGGAACGAGAAGAGGACCTTATGAAGGCCATCGCCCGTAACAGTGAGCTCGAGGCATCCCTTAAAGTGAAGGAAGATGAGCTTGAGCTAATTAGGGGGGTAATGGCCGAGAATGCTGATCGCTGCCGACTCAACACTACACTAAAGTAGGAAGAGCGGGTTGCAACAGCTTTTACCCGATAGTGGATCGGGATCGATTTTCCACAGGGAGCTAGAGAGGGAGTTGTATTATCTGCTTAGTTTAGAATTGTAGTTGTGCTTCTAATATCACTTCTAACATTTTCAGTTTTGGTTTTCTATATCTTCTACTTTAAGACTAATAGTTGAAGCTAAATTATGCTATGGAGATATTGCTAAGTTGTAATTAATATAGAGAAAAGCACTAGGGTCGTGGCATTACCTAGGTGGCTAACTAACGGGTAGATGCTACTAAGGGTAAATTGACTTATTTGGGGCTTATGCTATAACCGTTGCTCAATTGTACCCACTCTCACACCTCTCGGTAGAGAGAGTGATTTTGCCCAATTGACTCTCTCGAGACCAATTGGGTAGGCCAATTTGACCAAGCAAGTAGGGTTCAAGTGGGATAATTACTCTCTCGAGGTTTAACTCGTTAATTGGGACTACCATTTCTCATGGGTCCATCCCAATTTCTTGTTGGGTCAATTTTGGGGTCATAGACTTTCTTTCTCAAGAAGAGTCAAACCCACCAAGCTAGAATCAGTGTTTGTAACCACCAATCCTTAATGAAAACCTAAAATTAACCCAAATAGCAAACACCCAATATCAATCTAGCCTTAGATTGCAACACCCATTAATTACCCACACTAGGGTTGAGCCACAACCCTAGCTAGTGAGTTTAGCTACTCATGCTAGATGCAAAAATTAAAGAAACAGATGAAGAAGCAAACATAATAATTGATTACTAAGGAAGAAATACAAAATTAGAGGTTAAAAACGCCAAAAATGGCTAAACCCAATGTTCTCACGAGCTCAGCAGCCTTAGGTATCTAAAACATAACCTAAAAATGGGAAAAGGATCTATTTATAGTGGCTGAAAAACTTGGACAAAAATACCCCTGCGGGGTCAGCGCGGGCCGCGCAAAAAGGTAGCGCGGCCGCGTGGGCTCTTGAAATCTTGAAGATTGGCTCTCTGAAGTTGAGGATAGCGGGCCGCGCAAAAGTGTAGCGCGGCCGCATGAGATCTGGCGCGGACCGCGTAAATGTGACCGCGGCCGCGTGGCTTGCTTTGGTCCCCAAACTTCATCTCTCTGAATCTCTTCACGCGGACCGCATGAAAATGTGGCGCGGCCGCGTGATCTGAGCGCGGGCCGCGTAAGTCCAACCGCGGCCGCGTTGTGAGAGTCCCGAATTAGCACTTCTCTGATTCTCCTAGTGCGGCCGCGTGCACTTTTGTACGGTCCGCACTAGGATCTTTTTCCTTCACTTTTCTTGGCCTTTGATGCTTGAGCAGGTTTCACTCTGTTTTGAGCCGATCTTTGATAATTCAATCACTTTGTCGCTCAAACCTGCAATCAAGCACAACCTGTGAGCATTTTGAGATTATTTTGTATCAAACTATACTCAAAGCATAGGCAAGTAGGGGCATAAAACACGTTAAAATCCTACTTATCAACTCCCCAAAACTTAAACCTTTGCTTGTCCTCAAGCAAACAAAATAAAACCCACCCCATAAAGGAACATCCAAGTGATTCCAGCTATCCTAAAGTAGCCTCAACAAGCATCAATTGGGACTAACAATTGCCCTCAATACGAATGCATCATTAACACATTTTAAACTTTGAAAACTATGGATCAAGTTTGACACAAGGGCATCAAGGGTTGACACATTTCATCAAAGAACTTTTATCAAATACCTTGGTCATTGTGGAACCCAAACTCACACATCCTCAACTCTCCTAAGCGAACCTCACCTTTTTAGAGTATTGACACACAAACCGAGGTTGATGGAATTTCACTCATCTCTCTCAAGAAAAATGTCACAAGTCTGGCTCTAGGTACCATATGCTTGCCCCTTATGTAAGTATCCACTAATGTAGGTTTTCTTCAACTCAAGATCATATAGGGCTTTTTGTGGAGTCATTGTGAAGGCTTTTGGGTAAGGATAGGACATGTTTTAGTTCAAATGGGTTCAATCTTCCCTTAAGTACTTCCTTTGATTCATTTTGGCACACTTTCTCGACTCATTTGAGCATTTAACTTCTTTTCAAGAGGTTAGAGCGACACATTGTCACTCTTTCTTATGCAATTCAAATCATTTCTCCTTTTCTATTTTTTCCACACCTTTTTCTTTTCACTTTTGTTTCCTTTGATTCCCCTTTTTATTCTTGTTCACTTTGAACTTTCTTTTTGTNGTGTTGTGGCGAAGTCAACAAGTTGAGGAAGCTACATGGGAAGCGGAGAAGGAAATGAAAGAGAAATATCCCCATCTGTTTGATCAAGTCTAGAAGAAATTATGTGGCCTTTCTATTTCTAAAACAACTATCATTGTGTCCGAATTGGTTCCCTCCTAAATGCTAGTGAAGTCCCTCTAGTTGTGCAAGACTTATAGGTGTTGTGATTGTTTTATGTCATGTGAACATCTCTTTGGTAAATGAAAACTTTACAAAGAACTCTTGTGATAAGTAATCAATTAATGGTTGTATATGTTAGTAATGAATTATTTGTATGCATGTAGTATGTTGAAATTGCTAAATTATGTGAAACTCATTGAAATAACTGATTCATAAGCAAAACGTATCAAGTGATCAAATGCGTGCAATTGTTAAGGTAGGAAATTGTATGACAGTTGTAGGGGTGGTTGTAATTCTGCTATGGTGTTTGGAATTTGTGTTTCGGGGGCCCTCAGTCAGGTAGAGATGTCCAAATTACAAAGGAAACTCTGGCAAATTTTTTCTAAGAATATGGGAAATAGTGAAAAGTATAGGAATCTGCGTAGCATGTTTTCAAACCCAACTGGCCTTTGGAATACTGAAAAGTTTGAAATAGGTCTTCATTCGGGGACGAATGATTTTAAGTGGGGGAGGATGTGAGGCCCCGTAAAATATTTTGGCTCAAAACCTAGTATCTTGTGGTGTCGACTCCGAATATGTGTTAGGAATGCCATTCTTCCGCACAAAATAAGAGAGAGGAAGAGAGGGTCTTGAGAGAGAAAGTCATCTTTTCCAAAATTTGATTCTTCAAAACTATCCGGCTGGAAAATTTCAAGCTTATCTTCATCCCCCTTTTCTTGCAGGTAAAATCCCTAACCCTTTTTATGGAATAATGATTGAACTCATACATGCATGCATTGGTTCTTGAAAATAATGATTGAACTCATACATGCATGCCTTTCTATATCCTAAAATCTAGTAGGAGTAGTTGGGTGGGAGCAAAGACTTGTACAAAGAAGGGGCTGATAACCTAGATAAGTTTGAGAGGCATTTGTGAACCCCAATTCTAAGTTATGTGTATTAAATTGTGCACTAGATTGACGTTGCTAGATTATTTGGTGAATTGGAAATAGAAGTTAAAAGGGAATTCGGCTCCAGGTATGTATGGCTAACTTTGATCTTTGTAAAATCACCTTGCTTGGTGTTCAACATTTGGTACGTCTGGTCTACGTGGGTTATTTGTGAAGTTAAACTCTTGCTAGTAATATGTGTTTACTTGTGTGAACCATTTGTGAATTCATGTAAATATTATGCCTTAAATGTTGTTCGTTAAGACGTCCGATATGATTGTCCAAGTAAATGGCAATAAACCAAGTTGTGATTGCGAATGTGTTATGTGGTAAGAACTGTGGAAATAAATGATGGAAAGGAATCGAGATTGGTGAAATTGAGACAACTGTGGTAACAAACTTTGTGGCTAGTTGTGGAAAATTATTGTTGTGATTAAAATGGTACAACGGGCTGTTGAAAAAGACTGAAATGGCATTGATAGTCATATAAACCCTGTGTGAGTTGTGTTGTTGTTCCTTGAGATGTGTTGTCGTTGTTATTGGGATTTGTTGTCGTTGTTCCTGAAACTTGTTGTTGTTCCCTTGTAAATTGTCATTGCTGTGGTATTGTTTGTGAATTGTGATTGCTTGGTAGGATCGGGTTGCGCGCCGCAACACGAAGTAATAAGGTGTGGGTTTTGGTGATAAGGGTGGCCGAGGTAATAAGGGTGGCCAAGGTAATAAGGGTGGAAAGTGATCGAAATCACTATTGAAATGAAACTATGAACAAATTGTGAAATTGTTGATGTGGAAATGTGGAAGGGGAAAACAGGAGAGATTGTAAACTTGTTTGGCTTGATTGTTCCTTCTTTGTGTATTTGATTGTTATTTCTATTACGATTACATACTTGCTTATAAATTGTGAAATTATTGATGTGGAAGTGTGGAAGAGGAAGCAGGAGAGACTGTATACTTGTTCCGCTTAGTTGTTCCCTCTTTGTTGATTTGATTATTGTTTTTATTACTGCTACATACTTGTTTATGGTTCGAGTTTACTTGGAGTAAGGTTTGTTCATACATACCAGTATAATTCAAATGTATTGACGTCCCTTTTTTGCCGGGGGCGCTACATTCGTGTTAGGATTGTAGGTGGATCCGTAGCAGGTACTCCAGTCCACTGATTGTAGCTCCCCTTCTTCCTCCATCAGCTTTTTGGTGAGCCCCTTTCCTCTCGAGGCCCTGCGTGGCTCAGGACGCTTGTTTTCGGAGTTTTATTCTTGATTTTTGTGTAAGGTATAGCCGGAGCCTTGTTACCGGCAAATACTATATTATCATGTTGTACTTTTAGAGGCTCCGTGGACAGTAGATGTGGGTTAAGAACTTGTGTAAGTCTATGTTCATGTGTTGGGCAAAGAATTTGTAATTTCATTAACTATTATGTAGGTATGTATGTTTTGCAAAAAGGTGCTCTATGTTAATTATATGGCTAATTCTTGGAATATTGAGTAAGGAAAACATGGGGTAACACGTGGGTTAGGAAAGGCACCCAGGTCCGCTTGACTGGGGCTACCCGATCGGGCGCCGGTCATGTCCCTCGAATTTGGGGCGTGACAACCATACTTAGCAAGCAATGAATCAAAAGCCTTGTTGCAAAAGT